CATATTCTTGCTACAATAAATAAAGAATTTATTGGTTTTCAAATTATATTTACTATTTAATTGTTTCTATTTCACAATGAATCTATTTCATATTACCACAACTTCATGGTATGCAAAAACACCACATGCGATACATGCTACGAACGCAGTCCAAAACTGAATTTCCTCGCAACATTTTTTAAAGCTAATATTGAAAAATGTTTTCATTTTTTCCTGTGTTAGCAAGAGAACCGGTAACAAATCAAACAATGCCACCCGCAAAAACAAAGCGTATTTACGTCAAATGTTTACATTTAACATGATGTACCTTCGTTTGAAACGCTGCTTCTGCGCATATCCCAACATAACTATCAACAACACAATTCAACATTGCAAACGGTGACACTCGTTCTTTATGCCATTTTCAATTTCAAACTTATATTGACCACAAGTCTATTTAAATGAAAAACGCTTTTCAATTACAGTTTGTGCATGAAATCCCTAATAATTTCATACCATAAGGGGAACATTGGAATTTGTTAACAATAATTTGATTTGAATAAAAACACTTCACTTGAAAGTAAAGAGAAACAAATATTTTTGAATTTCATATTTATTTTTCATTTGAAAATTTGAAAATATGAATTCTAATATGTAGAATATCGTTTAATCTAAAAAAACAAAGTTTCCACCCTGAGATTCTATCAGTTGAGTTTTCTCTGCGGCTGAGCATTGATACTACTGAGCAAAGTGTACTCCAGTATCGTGTTTGTTGTAATGAAACACCGTATTATTTTACTTTCACAGCAAACTTGTCAACAGCAAAACTCAACCTTTTTTGGTTACAGCAATTGAACGTTTTTCTCTTTTAGCGTATTACAAATTCACATGCTCAACTCTGGAACACGAGGCTTAGGCACATAACGGAAATCGATGAGATAAAAAGATTTAGCTAAAATCAAGCGAAAATATTAAACAATTCACAAAATTCAGAATTATTCACAAATTGAAACCGAACCGAAAAAACGGTAACCCAAAAGCACACGGCCAATTTTGACAAAGCAGATTAACGAGGACTCGTAGTTTTATTTAAATAAAATAAGTTTGCAGAAACTAAAATCTAACTGAGAAGTAGTCAACATGCCAAACCATTCGTACTGTTGGAAAGGGAATTGATGGAGCTGCCGGATTTTGCAGCGAAGAATTTTCGAAAAAGCAGTTTCCAAAAATACTTGCCTTTATTAGTACCATAATCGGAGTAAAAAAACACATTAAACATATTGCTCTGAATTTCTCAAGCGAGAAAGAATAAAGTCTTTCATTCAACGGAGAGAAAGCAAATGATATGGGCTATTGAAACGATTTGATTCCGAATAGGAGGTGGAAGCAACCCGTAGTAGGCTTGCTTACTCGAGCACTAAGTGAGACTACTCACTGTTTACTTGGAGCCGACTCGGATCGGAGTAAGTTGGACGAGAAACTGATACAGCCAACAATATCATCAGAAATTTTTCGCTTCATTTGGTACATTGGTTTCTCATGGGTTAGAATTTTTTTCCATTTTCATCATAAGCAATTGCCAATATAATGTGAACGAAAATCATAACCCAAAAAATATAATGAAAACTTTTTGTTACAGCTTTTGGCAACTTCACAAGATTTATTTTATTAATGCTGATTCCAAGTGCTCAAACTTTAATGCTGATTCAAAGTGCTCAAACTTTAATTAAAGTTAAGGGTCAAAATTTTTGCTAGTGGATATTTTTGAAATTGTTCGTTGCTATGAAAATTGTTGAGCCCAATAATGATGTTTTGCATCAAAACATCCAAAGGTTTCATTAATTTTTTGGATTTTTATGGGATTCTTCGTTAAAGTTCGAACTTTAATTCTATTAGTGAGACGTAAAAGAACGCAAGTTGGTCCAACTTCGTAGCAATAAAGAGAAGTATGTTTCATTGCAACTAATAATGGTTAAAAGAATGTATGTTCGTTTTTAGCGGGTCCTCGCGGTTTTTCACGGTTCACGCGTAACTGATAAGAGATAACAACTTGATGTCTTCGGCAGAGTTGTAGCACTCGAGATCTTCTATAACATTGCTGAAGTCAGTTATCTCTTATCTCTTATCAGTTCCGCGAAAAGCGCGAAAAATGATAAGAAAAAAAATTCTGTATAAAATTTGCTTTTTTATGTGCGCGATTTGCACGCAACTGATAAGAGATAAGAGATAGATGTTTTCAGCAATGTTATAGAAGACTTCGAGTACTACAACTTTGCCGAAGACATCAAGTTGTTATGTCTTACAGCGGCGTATCTAGAGATGAATTCCAGGGGGGGTTTTTCGATTGATCTAATTTTCAAGGGGAAGGCGAAATTTTCTTTTCCAGAGTTGGAAAACGCTTTGAGAGCCAATATCTGCTAAAGACTTGAAGAGATCATTAATACAGGGGTGTTGTGCGTTGCCGAAACCTGTACGTTTTTGTTTTCTTACTGCGCACTACTTTTCTACGGTGAAGCAGACTGCTTTGTTGATGTGTATAACAATACGGGTAAAACACCGGCACTCCGAGGTTTTCATACAAACTTCCCATGTAGACGATCCGAAACAGGCAAAAATCGAAAAAAAAGTTTAATTTTTTTTTTCGATTCTCATATGACGACCTGAGAATAAGAACCTTTCCTACAAAACCTGTGCGCAGAACACAAACACAGAAATTTTTTAGTCAAAAGGCGAACAGCAAATTTGCGAGCGCAAAAACCTAATATATTTACAGCGAGCGCAAAAGTATAACAAGCCTACTACGTACTGCGATAAAAGTCTATATAAACAATGTTATTATATTTGACAATATTTGACTCGATGTCAATGACAATGTGGCAGCGCCACCTATAGAGATTCCTTATTAAAATAAGTGGAACTATTGAGTGCATGCACCATATCGCACGTAAATTTTCAATATGGCAGCGCCCATAGAATTGAAAAGTTAACCGATTTCGTAGTCACAAATTATCGCTGTACGGCCTACTAGCATGCAAACTCCGTATAAGTAGGCCTGTTATGCTTTTGCGCTCGCTGTAGATACATTAGGTTTTTGCGCTCGCAAATTTGCTTTGACTAAAAAATTTATGTGTTTGTGTTCTGCGCACAGGTTTTGTAGGAAAGGTTTTTCTTCTCAGGCCGTCATATAGTAATTTTTTTGCCCAATCCATTGGTGTTATCGCCACATCGAAATTTGGGCTCCTTATCACTTAATTTGCATCATGTGATAAATGCGAGTGACGTCATCAATAGCTCGGGAATCAATTGAAATGAAACACACGGAAAAATATTCGAATAACGGAACAATGTGATACAGATCCATTCATATGAAACAATGCGAGAGGATTCGTTCATACCGACACTGCAGACAAAAAATCTATCAAATCGGAACACCGCAAAGCGAAATACTTAAAACGGCACATGCTATGTTTAATTCTCACGGATTTCTTTTCCATGTTCCATTTTAATGGATTGCTTTATTTTTGTTTCGTATCTGTGTATTGTGCGACGAAAGTCTCATGTTCATTTCCACCGCATCAAAGTTAATATATAAGTTTTCGTAAAAATATCATCATCCCCTAGAAATCGTCACATTTGAATGGGTGACAGAGGAATATCATCGAATTTTCTACAAGATTATTGCAATTTATTGAATGTGTTCGGTATTTTCATATTCAGCTGCACATATTTGCGAATATCGAACTACTTTTACAAAAAAAGGTTAAACATAAACTTTATGTATAAAATTTATTCAAAATCATATGAATCTTTGAGGCAAATGGAGCCATAATAATATATTTTGCGAAAGTTGTTACAGAGCCGCGAGCGAAGCGAGCGGAAATTTTCTTGTTAACTTGTGAATGCAATTTCTCTTCAATCTATAATATTTTTCCCCTTTCCGGATTTCGGGGGCGGGGTTGAACCCCCAAACCCCCCTGGATACGCCACTGATCTCTTATCAGTTCCGCGAAAACCGCGGAGGCTAGACGGGATGCCAACATACTTCTTTTTAACGTAGATAGAATCAACAGAAAACATACTTTCCTTTTCAAAAATATAAATCGACAAAAAACATACATTCTTTTACGTCCCACGAATAGAATTAAAGTGCGAACTTAAAAAAATTCGTTTCTTCGCGTTTTTGGGCGGTTTTATTGATAGAATGAAATGAAATGAATTAAGACGATTAATGATGATCTGACCCAAAAGCCGCCTGAAATTTACCGTTTTTTGAATTTTTTTGGATTTTTCACGAATTTTTTTTTCGTTTTTCCCGGCATTTCTCGAGAAATTTCAATGCGATTGAACATATTTGGGCATAAATAGAGGTTTTACATTGGAATTTTTCAATTTTTTTTCGATTTGTTGTAATTTTTTTGCAAAATTTTTGAAGCCCTATAACTTCTCAACGACTCGAAGTAGAGCAATAGTGTCCGCGGCAACTTTTTAGTACTCCTCAAGAAATTTGCATACAATGTTCTAAACGTACTAAAAATTTACTAAAATCTACTAAATGTTGAAAATCGTAAAAATACCCAAAAGTAAAGGTTTTACACAATTTAGTACAAAAGAAAAAAATACAAAAAATCGAAAAAAATTGAACAATTCCAATGTAAAACCTCTTATTAAGTATTGAGACTGGTTGTTATAATTGTGGCTATAAGACTGACTATTTTATTAAGCATTTTTAATGACAACATAATAAGGCCTACTACAAAGTATCAAAGCCTACTATATAATACCTCTATTTATGACCAAATATGTTCAATCGCATTGAAATTTCTCGAAAAATGCCGGGAAAAACGAAAAAAATCCAAAAAACGGTAAATTTCAGGCGGCTTTTGGGTCAGATCATCATTTATCGTCCTAATTCATTCCATTCTATCAATAAAACCGCCCAAAAATGCGAAAAAACGAATTTTTTTTTAAAGTTCGCACTTTAATTAAAGTTCGAACTTTAACGAAGAATCCCATAAAAATCCAAAAAATTAATAAAACCTTCGGATGTTTTGATGCAAAACATCATTATTGGGCCCAACAATTTTCATAGCAACGAAAAATTTCAAAAATATCCACTAGCAACAATTTTGACTTTCAACTTTAATTAAAGTATGAGCACTTGGAATCAGCATAAATCTTTTAAATAAACGAAAAAAAAAGAACAAACAACGCGAAAAATAACGAGAAACTAAAATGTGGAGTCAAAAACTCAATACAAGTCAGATCGCAAGAAAAATCACAACACTATCTTTATATTTTATTTCAATTTAATCGTAAATAAAACGACCAATAACTCACAGAAATCAAATATCCACAATATTTTTTCACAAAACAATAGCGCTCGATTATTTGATTCAACAGATTTATGTGAAAGTTCGTTTGTTCAATAAAAACTTATCAAAGGCAAAAAAGGTGACCATTCCCTTGCAATTGACGCAGAGCCATGCGGTTTCCTTGACGTTTATCATAGTCTCATGTGTCTGTGTGAGTATGCGAACGCATAAGCATATATTTGACACATATACATCTAAGCAGTCAATTGAGTGACAGCTGACAGCACAAGTCAGTTGAGCATTTGATTTTTTTTTCAATTCCTTCATCTCAATTCCAGGCTGTTATTGCAGCAATAAAACAATTCCCAATATTTTTTTATAATGCGTTTTTATTTGAAGTCAAATTACATATTTGTTACTGCTTCTGAATTTTCTTAGTTTGTTGTTTTTTTTTGTAATGCGTTTAAATCTAGACTAAATTTATTCATTTCATTTTCATCATTTTATCTCTGTTTTTAATCGATAATATTACGTTATGCAAAGTTAGAATTATTTTAAATATCACTTAAATGTACGTTTTACAGTAATACAATCCGTTTTTTTTTATTTTTCATTTCATATTAATTGTTGTTGTTTTTCCTTTATTCATCCGTGTGTGTTTTTTTCTCTTATTAAAGTTGTTATAATTTTTTGTTGTAGTGTACATCTAACTTAGTAGAAATCATCACATATTTTGACCATAACACTCCATAGTTTCATTATTTTTTTTTTTACTTTATTGTTTCCGTTTATTCTTTCTTCTCTTTATTTTGCATGTTATTTCTATTACTTACATAAATTGTTGTTGTTGTGTGTGTGTGTGTGTGTGTAAAAAATTCAAAATTAAAAACATTTGTTGATCATTGCTCATGGTCTCGAAGATAAGCTTCCCTTTCTCATTATTCATTCTATCGTACAGTATTGTTTCGATTTATTTTCATATCATTTTCATTTGTTTTGTCTATTCTTCATGTCACATGTTCGGTGTAGTTTCTCATCATAAATTCATTTGGCTTTTTGTTTCATTTTAATGCTGATTGTCTAGCTTAAGCAAATCCAAAGCCCTCTGAACATTCATGGATGGCTTTCAGCAGACTTGACCGCAATTTGTCATATGTTTTGTACACAGGAAGATCCAATTGATTGAAGCTAAAAAAAATGAAACAAAGAAAAATGCATGTTAATTGGTGTCGGTCTTAAAAATTGCAACGAGCGGAATTTTTTGGGAATGAGAAATAAAATCTTGATTATTAAAAAAAAAATTGACTAAAAACTTGATTAGATTGACATCAGCAATTCTAAAAAAACACATTTGAATTGAAATGACAGAATTTCAAATTTGCAAAGTAAAAAAAGTCGAAAAATCTACAGAAATTTCACAATGAAGCAGCTGAATGAAATTACCATGTGTGAGCCGATGGAAGACGCTCTGTTGATCTGTCGTCCCGATGAATCTGGAACTTTTGTACACCGTTCATACCTTCGAGTGCACCAAAACCTTGTAATGGCACCTTCGATGTACCAGTCACAAATTGCAGGAATTTTGCACGATCCGCTTGATCGAAACTGCGCAACGCTCGCCAGAACCATTGAATCTTAAGGGGAGAGAGAAATCAGTTAATTTGGTTCGCATTGGCTAGTGTTTTTGATTGAAATGTGTTCATTTTCTTGGTACCATGGTCATTGGGAAGACAAGAAAAGTAAGTGTACTTACTTGGATTGAGTTTGCCTGATATTTATGGTATTCGGTGTTTGCTTTGAGGTCTTCAATGTCCACATTTGGCAAACCGGATATCAACAATTCCAATTCTTGTTCGTTAAATATTGAGATCAGTCGTTTCGGGATGATGTCATAGAAACCTTCGAGGAATGCGTTCAATCTAATTGTGTGAAGAAAGAATGTATGTGATTAAATTCGCCATAAAAAAACATCAATTTGCTCATAAATACTCAATTGGTCAATTTCTGTTGAAACGATTATTAATTAATTCTTGAGAAATTTCGACAATTGCTCATGCTATTTAAACATAGTTGGAAATGAAATAAAAACCCAAAAAATCCCATCAAACTTACTGTTGTTTAATTGATCCGCTCATTTTCAGTTGGCACACCAAATGAATGTAACTGAATTTATTCTCTTCAGTGACAATAATGTTTCGGCCATTTGGTATTAGGTCACGCACTTCGGTCACACCAAATTCTTGTACTTCCAAACTAAATGTTTGTTCGTAGCCCAATGCAGACACATGATTTTCCATCAAATAAACGAGACCCTTGTAGAATTCATAATCTTCATTTTCCATATCTTGTGTGTTCACTTCGATGCCAAGAATGTGCTTGTAGAATGAGCGCGTGAAATAGCACTCAAGCAATTTATTGTCGTAAATGGCTTTGGCTGTAATGAAATTATGGCGCAATTAATTACATGTTGATACCATTTTTAGCGCAGCGTTTGCGCTTGTGAGAGGTATAGAGATGGAGAAATTGAATAAAAGCATAATAACTTACCGATGACTCGACCAACGAATTTGAAGTAGAACAAATGATTCGAGTTGGCATGACTTGATGGATTTATCATATAAGTAACTCGGTCGCCCGGCGATACGGTGAACAATGCGTACATTGGATTGAAAATTTCACGCGAAATTATCACATACCATTCACGCAACAAACCACCAGCATCCTGACCTTCTTCGTCTGTAAAATGAATGAATGTAGTTTTTAATTAGTATTTATCATTAATTATTTTTATTGGATTGACGAAAATCAAATACGATCTATCTGTTTAAGAACATCCAATGTTTTAACGTATTCAATTCGGTTTTCATTTTAATCCAAATCAAGTGCATGGTAGAAAAAATCATGATTTTTATCGATGAAAATCAGAAGAACCTACCTTCAAATACAATGTAGAATCGATTTTTCCACTCTTCTGGATTACGGCGATACAGCTCACGGAATGAGTCCTCGAATACAGTCACACGATGTACATGCACTGCCAATTCCTCACGCCGGATACCTTCATCCATTCGCTCTAGTTCGGTGCGGAAATAACGACGTTTGACATCAAAGTCAAGAATTCGTGTGTGATCAACCAGAACGGCGAATGGACCATCGGACAGGTGAACAGTCGATTGTCGTAAAATTTGATTCAATACCGTTCGATGCTTTTCGGCAAATTGTAAGAATTTCTTTTGGTCAGATGTCAATTGTACTTTTGGAGCCTGTTGTTGTGTTGGATTTCCAAGGCGAGTTAGAATGTTGTTGCTGGCCTCTTGATCGTTTGCCGATTGAGACTGGCCACCTCCGTTGCTCGATTGTGAGAACGAATTGCTATTTGGCATGTCAAACAATGAAATTGGCGAAACCTGCATTTTTTTTTTCAATGGGAGATAAATGGAATTAGTTGAATACAATTATGATTTGGCTTGAATATATTTCAAAGTAGATAATTTTTTTCTATCAGACAAAATGAGACTCAAAACCAAGAATAGTATTGAAAAATGTATTTTTTTTTCTCCATATTAAAAATATTTTCATCGAAAAGAGCTCACCATTTCACGACGTTCACTGTCGGATGTACCGCTAGCTTCCGCGATGGCACCAGATGCGCTGGCTGTTTCGTCAGCAGCAGCTGCACCATCACCATCACCAACTTGCATTGGTTCGCTGTTTTCGGTGGCATTTGAGGTACTATTTGTTTCAGCGGCATTATCTGCACTTTGACCTTGATTTTCAGCCACATTCGGAGCACGGCTCTGTGAAATTCCAATAAAAAATCGAATTAAATTTTCTTTAAAAATCCAAAATATTTCTTTCTTCATTTGATTGAATTTCGATTAAACATCTAACAACTTTTAATTTCAAAGAGCTACATCTTCTCAACCCACTTACCTGGAATTTCTTTTGTTCGGTGACAGATTGCGCTGCCTGTGGTTGTGATGAGGCGTGAACGAGGAAGAATGCTTCGACGGCTGGTTGAAGAACGAGCACAGCATGATGGTCGGCATTCTCTTCGAGTTCAACCAGACAATCGCTGAGCGTGTTCCACAAATGGTCCAATTGCAATGTTTCACTGAGCGGTTGCAATTCAATGGAATTGAGTACGATTCTCTTCGCTGCTTGATTCGATGATTCCTTGGACAATGCATCCTTGGCCGATTCTCTGATTTGAATCACTACTTTGAGAATGCGCAAAAAGAACGATTGGCTGGCGGTTTTCGAAATCAGCGGCACCATCGATGGTAATTGAAGTTCACAGCGTGCCTTTTGTTTGGATGTTGATGTGATGACAACGGTTTCTTTGGTGAAACGATCCTGTAAAATGCCCTTGGTGCCGGTGGTTGCCGATGCTTTTGACGTTGATGGCTGTTGCAAATCGGCATTTGCATTCTCTGCGGCAATTGGAATATGTTGTGAATTGGACGGTGATAGTCCAGATTCGGCGCGATTTCTTTGGTTTAATTGTCGCAAATCGTAGATCAAATCATTGATTTGACCTTGAACAACGCCAGCCAGATATTTGGCACCATCGATCAACAAATTCAAAATGAATGTACGGGTAACATTTGAGCATTGGCTCAAGTTCAATAATAACGATGTGGCATCTTCAAGACCTTCTTCCGAACATGATTTCGATGTAAGCACTTCGATGGCCAAACGTAGGCTGTCCTGTGATTCCGGTAAACATTTCTCGTCCAATTCAACGGGCGATGATTTCAAACGGTTGACACATTGATGTCCAGCGCTGGCAGATGTGCTGGCCGTGGTATTTTCGGTGGTGGCAGCTGTTGTTGAGGCGGTGGTGGTTGTTGTTGCAGCAGCTGTGCTGCCAGTAGCATTAGCAGATGGTTCCGCATTTTCGTTTGCATTCGCTTCAGTGCTCGCCGCTTCAGTGCCCGCCGCTTCAGTACCCGTCGCTTCGTTGTTACTTTCCGCTGGGGGAGCCTCAAGTGCATTTGGCATGGTTGAAATGGATGTTGCCAATTGAACGGCATCGGGTAAACCGACCGAAATATACGACAACAGCTTCAACAGACGATCCGTTAACAATGTACTCTTCAGAATGATGTTAAATGATAGCATGGATATCAATTGGCCAAATGGTGATTCGGAGAACGAATTCATTTCAATATCAACAAAATCTTCGGCACATGCTGGATTCGCCGAATTTTCTCGGATATTAAACGATTTGCTGTTGCGTGCTCGCATTTCCAATCGCAATAAAATGTCCCAGAAATCAGTCGATTTGTCGGTTTGCGTGGAATCCTTCTGTGATCGACCCGAACTGCTGGTGCTCGGTTGATTTTCATCGATATTCGTATCGGTTTTGTTGTTTCGACCCTTCTTTTTGATGGGCAGGAAGTTTGATGGGAAGTTCTTGGCCAATGAAATCAACAATTCCAGTGCATGGCGACATACAATTTGTGCGGCCTGTGGATGGATTGCGATCGAGTATTCGTTCGATGACAATTCGTTTGTTTCGTCAACTTGCATCGCTTCGTCTTTCGAATGGCGAATCTTCTTGATGATGAAAATGTTGTTTCGATTACCTAACGCCGCATCCAATCGAATATTCAACCAGTGTGGTCGATTGCTGACCGTTTGCAATTGTTCATTCTGTCGCGATTGTTGGTTGCTTCGTTCGATTATCGACAAAATCGTGCGAATAATCCAGTCACGCGTTGGCAAATGCGAACATAAAATTCGAATAACACGATGGAAACGAAGTGTACAGATTTTATTCGCTTCGACAAACAATAGAATCAACAATGATGTCAGTGATTCGTGATCGAGTTGTGGTTGACCTTGTTGTTCCATGCATAGCAAACTGCTTCCCGGTCCAAATGCGTCTCGATCCACTGAAATTGTGGTTGAACCGGGATTGATTGGCCAGTTATTCCATCGCATTCGTTGCAAATAGTTGACCGATGAAATTGGCTCGGGCAAACGGCTTCGATACCGTAATACAGACGAAAAACTGGGCGATGTTCCAACGTTACCACTGTTGCCACCAGCTCCAATTTGACTAATTTGCTCTTGCATGATTTGACGGTTTCGACTTTCCCAATCGCGTCGCAAATTTTGCGCTTCAGCCGCCAATTCGGGAGGCAGCACGGAAATTTGCGATTCCTCCATATCAGTCAAAATGGCTTGTCTGGAATGGGAATGGGCACATTGGATTTTATTTTTATTTGTTTGAGGAAGACATTTCTTTAAAAAGGACCTTTCAATAGGAAAATTGAAGGAAAAAAAATCAAGAAAACTGAACCGAAAGTGCATACTGCACATTTCTTCTCCACTCACCTCAACGACGGTTGTAAATTCTGGAAGAAAGCGGCAGCATCGACCGGATCATTTGGATTTGCAGCCGCCGCAGCCAAACGTTGCTGCTCGAGTCGCTGTTGTGCTAAAACCTCTTCTTGAATGCTTGGCGGAAGTGCGGCCAAAAATTCGGGATTCACTTCGGCAACGGCCTGTTGCTCATTTTGTACGGCCACTTGTTGCTGTAGACGTGTACGCTCTTGCATACGTTGAATTCGCAAGTGTTCAGCGATTACTTCGGCACGCATTTCCTCTGGTAAAGCAGCCAAGAATGATGGATCGATTCCATCTGGAATTTGAGTGCCATCAATTTGTGCTCCAGACGATGATCCTTCGCCGATTTCATTGGCAGCGGCATCCACCGTTGCATCGGAAGCCTCTTCTGGTGCTGATTCGACTGGTGCGGCTATTGCGCCTTCCGATTGTTCATCTGTATAAGGAAAAGAACGGAATTGAATTAAAATTGCGTAATTTTTCAAAATCAAATGACTTTTTTCTTGAATGGCATTCGATTGCACAACAAGGAATTGCAAAATATCCCCAAATGACCGAGTAAAATTGCTTACCATTTGCTTCAGCAGCTGGTTCATTCGATTCATCTGGCGATGGCTCTGATTCGGTGAGCGGTGCTCGTGTGCTACGTGGGCCACGCAGACGACGTCTTGGCGCCCAGTTTTGTTCCGAGGCATCTCTGCTTTCGGATTCATTGTCGTTCGATGTCGATTGACCTTCATCTTGTTCACTATTCAATCTCTGTCGCTTTCGGTCCGCATTCTCTGTACCATCTGGGGAAGGAATGATTTTTTTTAATCAATTAGTCATTTCGTTAAATATATCCAATTGTTCATGATACAATAGAATATTCGATTCACTCACCTTCATCGCCGGAAGAGTAAACATTGATAATATCATTGTTGTCTGCATTATCGTCATTGCTGGCGCTTTCTCCTTCCTTCAATTCGGTCGCATCTTGAGATTCATTCGTATCGTCGGGCTGTGATTCGGGCACTTGAGATGTGGTTGGTTCGATAGCATTGGGCGTTGTACTCTGTTCATTGTTATTGGCATTTTCACTCGTTTCACTTCCGGCGGCCGGTTGGCTTTGAGTTGGGGTTGGCGTTTGCGCTGCTGATTCTGACGCTGGCTGTGTTTCAGTTGGTACGCTTTGACCGGAGAAGAATGGTTCAGTGGAAACTGATGAAGCTATGGAGCGTCCACTATCTGAAGCAGATCCACCACCTAATAAAGCCGATAGGAAGAAAATTCAGTCAGAATGGTGTTCAACGACAAGAAATTAGGTGAAAATTTTCTGCTAAAAGCAATGGTTTTTACCAGTTCTTTCATCATCTTCCTGCACATTGCAGTCAGATTCAGTCATTTCTTCGTTTGATTCGACATACGAGCGCAGAGGTCCATCGAGTGGAATTACATCGTCCTCATCCTCATCGTCGTCTGTGAATCGATTGGGATATTAGTTTAATTTTCGAATTTTTTTCCGACATTTTTTATTTAAGACGAGTTTTTTTTTGTATTTAACGAAAAGTTCAAATAATTCATTTTATATTCAGATGCGATTTGTTCAAGAAAAAAACCTACCTTCATCCTCATTGTCATCGGAATCATCGTCGTCATCATCGGCGATGACACGATCTTCGGCCAAGTTTTGGTTCTCAATATCCAATTCATCGTCATTTTTCGATGAGTCATCATCGTCTATATGAAAGAGAAAGAAAGGAATTTCCAATTAGTCAAAACTTTGATAGAACATATTGGGCGATTTAATGGAGCTAAATAATTCATCATGACTAAGTCGCACAAAACAGATATAATTTTTAGTTACCTGACTCATCATCGACTTCAGAGCCGCTGTGCACTTCGCTGTTCTGTTGATTTTCTTCGGTTTCATTGTCATGCGACGGCGCTTCGCTTGGTGCCGATGGCACGACGTCGGCCAATGCTGACACCACTTCAGTATTGTTTGTGCTTTGGTTTGTGGTCGTACTCTTTTGCTTTTGGCCCGGTGCTTGTTTCGTGTTCGTATCACCCGGTGACTTCTTCTTTCGTTTGCTTCGTGTCTTCGACAATTCCATTGACCGTTGTGCTTCCAGCTCTGGAATGAGTTCGTTGCAAACAGTTAGACAAACGTCTGCTTGTGATTCGATGCCCAATGCTTTGGCCTCTTCAAGCCACCAATGTAACGGTGATGGTGTTTGGTTGAGTGTTGCTGCCAGGCTGCGACCGAACAAATAACCCGCTTGATCAACCAGATCAATTGATGGTTCACCCGAATTGGATAGAATACCAAATCCATTGTCCATGACCACAACACGTGTTGCATCTCGGAACGATGCCGATCCATTGGCATTGGCAATCACTTGACCCAGCCCAATGTTAACATTCTGTGCAACTGGACCAAGGAGACGTTGTAAAATGGCCGGTGGATTTGAGTTGCGACCGTTTAAATTTAAGTAGGCACATCGTCGTTGACGATTTGCATTACGTTGTGTACGGAATTGAATCAATTGTGATAGTGAATTTGGTTGATTTGAACCCGGTCCAAAGCCACCCGAACGTGAATTACTTGTGGTGATATGAATACGTCCGATAACATTCGATGTACTTTGCGAACCGGTTGCGCTTTCGTTGCTCGCATCACCATTCGCCGAAACACCTTCTTCGTGTCGATTGATGTTATTCGATTCGAAAATATTCGGGAAATTCGTCTGCGTGGGAGGGGGATAGAGAAAAAGGAAAAGAAAACGATTGGTTAGATGATTTGACTCTTTCGAGATTCTTTTTGGACTCTTTTTTAAAGATTTTACTTTTAATTCCATTCAATTTCGAAATTTTCTTCAATTCATTGCACGAATTTTGTTCTTTTTTGAATATTTTTCATGTTTAGAAAACTTGGAAAATAAACTCGATCAAAACTTACCCGATTGATTCCGCTAGTTGAAGGCACATTGCTATTGGACGAACTTGGTTGATCGTTATCAACGTCAACATTCACATTAACGCTAACACCAACAGAATTTGCGCCGCCCGCATTATTACCGCCGCCATCACGTCCATTGTCAGCATATTGAATCATCAAAATGTCCTCATTGTCTCGCTCCAATTCAGGTATGCTTGGTGACAAATGACGACCATACACATCATACATTTCAATATATTGTCGAGTTTCTTCGTCAACTTCTAAATCGCTTCGATCTTCAGCTTCATCCTCATTCTCATCTTCGCCTAGTGAAAACATTGCAAAAACACAGAAAATGTATAAAAAAAATACGACGAAGAGGAACAAACTTTCTAAAAATGGTTCTATATTGTTTAAATTCTGGTAATTTCCTAATGAATCGTTGCAGAATGCCAAGTGTGCAACAATGTTGATTTTTATACATAAAAAAACCAATTCTCAAGTCTTAAAATAGTTCTCGACAAGTTCCCGACAAGAAATTTGCGAATAATCGCATTGCGGATAGTTGGCGATTACCATGCAAATACTCTGAAATGTCATGCGCAGCCAACTTCAGGTTGGAACTGTACTGTTGTTCGCAGCGCGAATAGTCGCAGGGTATTCAGCGATAACATTTTGCGGCAACTTTTATTGTGGATTTCTATTCGCATTGCGAGTATCCGCGGATATGCGACGGAGTGTCGGCGTACACCAATTTTACCGCAAATTTCTCGTCGGGGTTTTAACGATAGCTAATTGCAGCGCTATAAATTACAAGTTCATTTCAAATTATCCCAAAATGCCGGATGTAGTAGAAACTGTGTGCAATTATCACAGCTATTACTTAATATCGTTTAGATAAGCGCATATGTTCGAACAATAAACACGTTCGTCGAAAGCAAGTGCAAATGTATGGAATGCACAACGTGTATGCAGTTTATTGACTAAAGCAAATAAACTTTAAAACTTACTAACAAAACACACGAATTTATCGTTCAACGAACAGAAATAAAGTCAAAAGTTACTAAAATATAAATTAAATTTGAAGCGAAATTTCTTACCATTTGATTCTTCTTCGCGTTCTTCATCGTTCTCTTCTGAGCCATTTGAATCCGAATCACTGCTGGTATCGTCTTCTTCGAGAATGAAACGCTCTTCGGCCAATTCGATGGGTTGAAGACCGCTGCCATTGTTGGCTGCATTACTAGCTGCAACCACTGATGTGGCAACAGCGCGTCGAGCTTGATCGGCCACGGAGCGTGACAATTCAACCGAATCATCGAGAATTGATTCACGATCCAAAATACGACGCCGAATCTCTTCAAGCATTGATGAATCAATTGGTTGGACATCGACACGTGAATTTCCCAAAAATTCTTGCGGTTCCGGTTCATTCGTATTGGTTGGTGATTCAATTGGATCGGCCGCTTCGATTTCATCATTTTCCACAGCGATGGCGCTTTGAACTTCGTTTGCATTTGCACTATCATCTTCGATGGTACCATCTTCATTGTCATTGGCTTGCTCGTCATCGGCGGAATTTTCTGAAAAAGTAGACGAAACAAGCGAGTTTGTTGTTAGTGGAAATGTTTTAAAAGTGAATGAAAAAATCCAAAAGCCAGAAATTCTGAGTTTATCAAAGAAAAAGTCCATTCAACTTACCGTTTGCCACATTCTCATCAAAAACGGCGGCATCGTTCAGTGCTTCACCTTGATTTTCGTTCAATTGCATATTCTGTTGATTGTTTGCCGTGGCATCGCCTTCGGCACTTCGGTTCTTATTGAATTGCACTGGCACTGGTGAGGCCGACTGATTCGACATGCGCAACAATTGCTCGAGTGATTTCAATGCCGTGCCAATTGTGACGATGGTATGTGGGCTAGACAGATCCAAGCTTTGTGTGATATTTGCCAAATCGGCAATCAATCCTTTGCGCACCATAATGTTAAAGATGTCATTTCGTCGCGGTTGATGTTGTTGCAAGCGCATCAGTGCTGGATTTTGATCGGGTGGACAATTTTCGATCATTGTCGGAATCAGTGCCGTCAACAATTGCAATTGTGCATGTTTTTCGGGTATTTCTGGCCATGAAAGTGCACGCAAAATGGCTGCTCTCACTTCCGTTACCACCGTGTATTGGGTGATTTGTGAGTCAGTGGCAGCCGAAAGTGCTGCAATCAACATGCGAGCACCCGACGAACATTCACGATCGGGATTTTGTTCAGTCGATGGTAAAAGATTATCTAAAATGAATGCAAGTGCTGGTTGTGCCTTGCGAATCAATGTATTTGGTTGCGGTTGATATGTATATTCGGCAATAATAACACCGACCGATGAATACGATCGTACTGCTTCGGCCAATGCCTTCAATATGGTCAATTTCGATAACAATGGCTTATCATTTTCACCCTTTGAATTTGATCCATTCCATCCTTCGTTCAGCAAACTATTCGGTTGTTTATTGGATGATGATGATGTCGATGATGTGGATGGTTCGTTGCCACCCATTAAATGCATCGTACCCAAGCGGCTGGAATGACTTGAATGTGTATCATTGCTTGGTCCACCAAATGACATTGCAATGAATGATAAATCATTGTCATCTACCAAATAATTGCTATTGTTATTATTACTGCCGAACGTTGAGTTGGATGCAACATTCGTCGTTGATGTGCTAAATGTGGTGGAAGTGTTTGTGTGACGGCTATGATTTTTCGCTGCATTCGTTACGACCTTTTCTTCGAACGTTTGCTTCTGTGCTGCATTAACGGGCACAATGAGCGATTGCAGTAAATCATAGACCACTTTAACGGCAATTGAATTTTCATTTGGTTTTTCCGTTTGTCGCTTTGCACTGGGCGGTGCCACCGATTTCATGATCAAACGATTATCTTCGCTGAACACACCGCGACGCAGCGTATTGATGTCAATGCGAAGCATGGACCGGGCAATTTCTTTGAAAATTTCTGGGTCACGCGCTACGGCTGAGCTCATACGACGCAGCATGAAGATTAAATCACGATAGCCGGGTGGAATTGTTTGTAATGTTCGTGCAGCAATCACTTTTTCCATGGCCATCGCCAATGTGCGTGGCTCTTCAAGTGTGTGCCGAATCAAGAGATTGGCTAGCGTTGATGCTCTCAAGTAACCGCCCGATTGTTTCATTTCCAACAGTAACTTGATGCCACCTTCACGGGCAAACACTTCAGCATTTTCGTATTTGGTTGTCAGTCGCACACAAAGCATCATCAGTGCATGCAACGAATCACGATCCACACAGATTTTCGGTGACATTAGACGAACACATGTGGCCACAACATTCTCGGTGGAGAACTCTTCGAGGCCAAGCAATTTGGAATCATCTTCCGTTACCACCGCCACACTGGTCTCTTTCTTTGGGTTATTGACCACGGACAGGGTGTAGTACGTTCGGAATGCATTTTTCAAATGATTCTCACGCATTTCGGACAGTGCTGCCGTTGTGACACGATCCAATTGGCACTGATTGTACGGCGATGTTGTCGTTGTTGTCGTTGTTGTCGTTGTTGACGTTGACGATGACGATGATGATTGCGTCTGAGTTGCTGGCGCCTGTAGGGAAAAGACAAGAGATTTGGATCATGATTTATTCTTTGAATAGAAGTTTTATGCTACATTTTATCCTCAAATTCGACTAGAAATTTAATGCATTAATTCAATCCGTAAATATTCGCTTAAACTCACCTCAGTCAAACTTGGTGCCTTCTTCATGAGACGATTCAATTTTGGTTTGAGCTCATCATTGGTTACATTAGAGTTTTCCTCATTGTCTGATCCGAGGATATGTGATAAAGTGGCGGACACATGATCGGGTATACGTTGTGAATTGACTGACGATAGCAATCCCAAAACCACTGGCCGATGATTTCCAGTCTCTTCATTCACTTGTGACATACAGTTGAAATTGATGGTGTAACGATGACGACCGACAGACACTCGAACCGTTGTCTCACCATTATTGTACGCATCGTTGATAATCTTGTTGTTGCCATTTGTGTATGCATTCCATTTTCCACTTTGGACATCATACCATTTCCATGCTGCAAAGAAATTATGCAAAAAAAAAAATGTTTAGACGATCGTTGAATTAATGCAACCATGGTTATTTATGAATGGTTCCAATCAGAAAAAAATAACGTAACTAACGTAGAAAAAAAATACTCACTGTTTGTGGTAATGCGATGCATTTCGTTGCGTCGACGAATCGATACGACGACCTTTTCGTATAAGTCAATGAGCAAAATCATTTGTGACAACCATTTTGGTGTGTACAAACATTTGCCCGCCTTTGCTGTGAGCACATCCTCAGTTTCATTCAATAAGCTAATCAGTTTTGGCATCAATTTAAATTCTTTTATCGACAAAATTACGGGCGTACGCAAATCGTGATACTGTGATACCTCGAGGAACAAACAGAATATGTGCAAGCGTACAGTGAATCGACTGCCAACTTCGCCAAAGAAGATCGTTTCAAGCGGTGTGGTGCGATCGCTGAGCATGGTGCGCAGCTGTTCGGCACAATCAATCATCGTGGAAATGATGGTGGCCAGCATTTTCCATTTGATTTCCGTTCGTTTGAATAGAATGCCAAGTAATTCGGTGCCTTTGAATACAGCATCAGGTACTTGATCAATTAAATACAACGATGTGCGTACAGCCTCCTCACCAAAATCGGACAACAGTTGCTCCGACAACGGTGGTTGATTTGGTAGAACGGTGACGGTGTTACGCATTCCGCGTCGATTTCGTTTCGTATAGGTCGATGTACCAGCCGCCGCTGTGCCGGATGATTCAGCAGTCTTTGTATCGGTCGATGCGTTTGTATTGTCACCGGCCACTTTTTGTCCCATCAATACCATCATTTCGGCATCGATATTTTCATCATCGTCTGAATCCAGTCCCATTCCACTCGGATTCTCGTTCGTGGTATTGTTCATTGCTGCGCTGCCGGTGCGAGCCAACAAGTATTCGGTTGCCTGTTCCATTGAACCAGTATGATAAAGTGCTTCGCGGCAATGCTCTTGTGAGAATCCCATTTCCATGAGTTGCGTTAAGAAGGCTTCGTTGATGGTATTATTGATGTTGGCAACACCGCTAGCTGCGGCCGCCGATGCCGCTGTCGATGATCGATTGCCACGTGAGCTCAGTCTATTTGGTGTATCACTGTCTGGCTGATTGCCAGATCGTGGAAATAGCGAACCAAATTTAATGGTCGTTTTATCATTGGTCGATGATGACGTTGATTGCTCAGCGATTTTTTTATTGTATTTTTCGCGTAGAATTGGCTCGCCCTGATAGATGTGCTTCATAATGGTGAGCATGGATTCGGTCATGCGTGCACCATACGTACGAATCGGTTTGAATGACCAGATTTTGGTGACCGTTTGAAATGCCAACTTGTGCACATTGATCAAATAGGCGACCGTATCGAATTCGGGTTTGTTTCGCAACGATTTTGTTTGGATCACGTGCTGTGACTCGAGCACGGTTTTTGGATTCACCATTTTTTCCAAAAGCATCAGCCATGCGTCTAAGAATTCACCGCTGCCCGCCGAAAATTCACCATGATCTTCATTGTTTGTGAACAATTCTTTCGGAATGACTAAATCATCTGCGGTTCGAACGGTAGTTGAGGTAGTTGATTGCGTCTGTTCGACGTCGGCGGTGTCGGTCGCGTCGCTCTTCTCGGCATCTATCATTGGTACAGCGGCATCGGTTTGTTGCTGCTGTGATTCTGCCTGGTCGGGTTCTTCACTATTTTCATCGGTTTCACTTGAAATCGTCAATTTTCCATTGCTACTGCCGGTTGCAGTCGTTGCATTTGTATCGGGTTCGAGGCTCAATGCAAAGCCAAACATTTCGAAGAATGCTTGCAGGCCGCCCTCTTCACAGAATTTATGTAACATCAAATGGTATGCATAACGTTTCTCATCGAATAGCATCGGACTGGTGAAACCAATCGAACAGATGAGAAATGTTTGTTTCAACTTTGGTATGGGTGATGGTGGCAATTGGTCATGTGATAAACCATCCACTAAAATGTAGCTCAATACACGGGCAATGTCACGCGATGCGGACGACATATAATTGCCGACATTTTGTGGATGAATGCGTCGCATACGATTGCCAACACACAGTTTCACGAGTAAACCAAACAATTCGGCCAATGCACGGCCCAAACGGGACGATGCACCCAGTAATGATTTAATGTAACGCAATTGACTTGGCGTTGCAACAATGCGACGTTGTTGAAGCGACGACGATGTGGATTGTTTGTTTGCACTTGATGTGGTTGCGGTCGAATTGAAAGCAGCATCAAATTTACTGGATGCACTCGCTCCTTCCGTTGATGTGGATGATGTTTCACCATCTAACGTTGAGTTCAAGACACGATCAATGTCCATGGTTAAATCATTTATTGAAGCAGCTGCAGCTGAGCTTTGTGTTGTGCTCGATGATGATGATGGCATGGGTGTGTCAAGGCTAACTTCAGATGGCATTGGAACGGTGGATGAACCACTTTGACCAGGTACCGATGGCGGTTCGCCCAATTTGTCGAGATCTTCTTTACCAAAATCACAACCAACCGGAATTATATCGTCTGTGCATAATGCCAACAGCAGTGTGCTCTCCCACACAAGGGCCGTGTACAATTGAACCAATTTGTACAGCAATTTTTGGCCATATTTATTATTCTGACCCCATTGTTCGATCAATAAATTACGGATTTCAGTTTGGCCCGTTCGACAAACGTGGACCAACATAACAACGTAACCATGAACAGCGCTCATCGCATGCAACAGCGGCGTTTCGGTTGCATTCGAAAATGCCGATTCGATATTCTTGCAGTTGGCTAATTCGCGTAACAATACACTGCCCTGTGATTGTTCCCAGTGACTCTGCAACGGTTCTAATTGGTCAACAACAGCGGCTAATTGCTCTAAGCTTACTTTCAATACTTGCGGCTCATGTGCTAGGCTCTGTTTTTGATGGTGGAAAGAAAAGAAAAGACAAAAAGAAAAAAAATCATTAGAAAATTTATTAAATTCGTTGTTTTCATTCAAAAAATTCCAAATCAACTGCTGATTAGCTAACACACTCACCAGTATCGATTTGCAAACAGCGGCAACGGCTTGTGCTGAAGCGGTTATTGGGCTATCTACAGGCAAATTTGGCAATGATAAGATTCGTAAAAGTGGTTGAAGGCCGCCTTGTGCAACAAATTCACGACAATGATCATCGGTGGAGTTGTTGCTCAAAATGGCGTCCACAAATTTCATCACATTTAAAATGTAGTCGATGAGCGGAATTTTCATTGGGGTTCCATTCGATTGTAAACCATTTGAATTGTCTTGGCTACCGCTACGCGAACAGCTCATGCCAGCCGCATCGCGTTGATTGTGATGCGATGAAGTTGACTCTTCATCTTCATCGTCGTCTTCTGTTGGATCCATGCCAAGGAAAGGGAAAAAAAACGAATAAAATGACTCAATTAAATGGCGAACGAAAATTGTGCCATAATTTTTTTGTCAAGTCAAGACGAAGAAAAAAACGGTGGAATTTTATGTGTTTTGTTCAACATTTGTCGAGTGACAAGAAAAATATATAGAAAAAAGGAGAATGTGACGAAAATCCCATACCTGAACCAGTTTCAACGTTGCTATTTGATGTGCCGATGTTATTACGAACGGAATCCACGGGATCATGATTCAAATTCACCGAACTGTTGACACCACGATTGATGGCATTGTTCACATGTAAAACGCGAACATGAATCGATGGACGGCTGCTGCCACTACTGCTGACACCTGTATTATTGCCTGAGCTCATGTTATTGTTGCTTCCATTGCTTGAGTCGTCGCATTTATTATTCTGTGACCGCCAACAAATGTACTTTTCATCAGTGCCCAATTTCACCAGCTCTTCGAGCAATCGAATGATTGCTTTGGTGGCTTCGGTTTTGAGGCTTGGCTGATGACGCATCAATTCGTCCATGGCATTGCCAAGATTTGCGGCCGTATCACCAATTGGATCACTGCTTCGGCGACGTCGCATCGCTTGCAAATAAACGGGTGACAATAGCACTTCAAACAGTCGATCGAATGGTTTATACTGTACAAAAGCCTGTAGACCGCGTGAATTAAGACACAACGCACTAAATACATTTGGCAACGAACCAAGCACTTCACGTGTGGGTGGCACATCTTTCTTCAGCAGCGCTTGGAGTACAACATCCGTTAAACCGCTATCTTGCAGCGAATACAAGAGACTCGGCTCCTGGAACACATACACGGTAACAACGTCGGTGGCCAGTAAAAACAGCGATGGTCCATAGTATTCAGCGTTGCTGATTATGTGCCGCAATGATGTGGGCAACGAACTTTCCATCACATGTCGAATGCTCTCGGAGAATGCAGCGTCTTGGATGGCTTTTTTGAGGAAATTCAACATTGATTTGAGTAATGCGGCTCGTTGGGGCAAACATGATCGTGTACTATTCTTCGATTGGCTGCTTGTGCCCATATTTGCACTGTTCACAGGCACTGTTGTATTACTACTTGTACTACTACTGCTGCTGCTACCGCTCGATGATGCATTTCCGGTGGACATCGTCGCCGATGCCGTCGATGGCATTGTCGTCGCTGTTGACGTTGCGACTGATGCTGGTGCTGATGCTGATGCTGGTGCTGGTGCTGGCGAACTACTTTCATACATTGTAACATCTTCGGACGCAATGAAATTATTATCATGGGCACGATCCAAATTCGATGGTATCAATTCGGATGGCTGCTCTTCGCGGCACAAATTCACCTCCATCTCGAGACGACCGATGAAACTTTGTAAACCGCCATGATTTTGAAACGATTGCATTTCAATGTTTGTAATTAAATCGATGACACGCACCGCACGCGTCACAAATGTGATATGCTCCAACTCTTTGCCCGGCCAATTGATGACACGCAATAAACTTTCCATCATGCCGCACGCAACCAATGCCTCTCCACCCGAATCATAACTGGCTAAATGGTATAGGAAACTAAATAAAGCCGTTGCCAATGCTAATGGAAACTGCTGTTGAGAGGCACTGTTTGTCGATTGCATGTGTTGGTGTTGTTGACTGGTGGTGTCACTACTACTACTACTATTGTTTGGCGTCGTTGTGGTGAGATGTTGAATGCACGTTCGCACAAGCGTTGGCAAGAAACCATGGTACGACGATGCACCAGTCACATCAATGATCATCATTAAACGAGATCCCGATTTTCTGAAAATTAAAATCGAAAAAAAAACACATGAAAGCAATTTGCTCGCCAAATTTGCCTCACATTGATGGCTGTGTATTTCGATTCGAATATTTTGGTGTACTCACTTTGGAAAATTCGGATTTCGATCTAAATGTATGATGGATGTGAGTGTACGTAGGGCAGCCGCTCGTATTTCGACCAATTTGGCCTCCCGCATTTCCAACAGTTCGACTAATTCCTCCAAAAATCCCGGATACAACAGTGTGTTTATGTTGTCTTGTAACGAATTGGAATAAACTAGCACGGACAACGCTTGCAGACGAGCCAACACAAATTGCAATCGAGTCTCGTAATCATGGAACGCCAACGAGAGCCGTACGCGGGTGAAAATCAACATCTAAACGAAAAATAAAAAAAAACAAATGAAAAAGCATTTTAGTTTCATTTTTAAAGAAGATTTGAATTTATGAATGGCAAAAAGTATAGCCAAGCAAGTACTCACTTTTTGGTCGTCATCGAGTGGAATCGGTATTCGACAGCACATCAAATAGGCAATTTCACTGGGATTCGTGATGCCAATGAAATCGCTAAACTCGTCCTGTTCGATGGATTTCAATTTGCCATCACTGTCGTAGTATTCGTAGTAGAATTTCGGGAATGAATCGGTGATTTTCATTGATCGATCACAACATTCGGCCAATCCATAGCCATGCTCTTTGCCACCCCAGCTCTGTTTGCGTGCGAATGAAAGATAAAAATGAATTTTAATTTGGAAGTTATTGAGAAATTATTCTGCGTTTCATTTTTCTCTCTCATGAATGTTAACCCATTAATTGGCGCTGGTCGGAAATCCGACCAGTTAATTTTTCGAATTGAGCGCATAACTTTTCATGAAAACATATTTTGGTATTGGTTTGATAAGAAAGAGTTTTTTTTTTTCAGTTTGTAGCTTTCATTATATGCCTATTTACATTTAATTTGAAAAAATGTTTAACTTGAAAACCCTGTCTGAGAAAAATCTTCAAATATGGCTGGCAGATAATGGGTTGAAAAAAAATCGGGGAATAACAGACTTCAATAATGTTTTACGGCCGAAATTCCCGGACAAAATTTAAAATGGAAACATTTCAATCGAATCAATTAATCAATCAATCAGCACTTACCTCCGCAATGTAGGTGAGTCGGGCGAGCAACGCATTTCGTTTGGCACAATTCAGTCGCGGTATAAAATTGCTACGCTTTGAAAACATATACAATAAATTCAATACGCCTAAAACGATTTCCATGTTTGTCGATGACAGCAATTGTGTCAGATGCTCCACGGAATTGTAGAGATGCCGCGAGAATGAGTGTTCAATCAATAGTGTGGTGAAATTTAGTACCGCTAACAATAGTTGAATCTTTTTCGGCGAAAAGCGTTCATCGCACGCCAAAAACCAGTCGTTGCCAATTTGTTTGGTGGCCTCCTCCAGAATCCCATCGAATATATCGAGCACATCGATCCAATGGTACAATTCACTTTTGCCAAATGTCCAAGTGTCGATTTTTCGTAGCTCCTCTAGCAATTCGTCCATCGAACAAGACCGCAATTTATCGATCAGTGTTTGACACTCGGTGGGCACCTCAGAGGTGCCCTTTTTCAGGCGGCTTGTGTCGACTTTCATTTTGGTTGCGTCAGTTTGATTGTGTATATTGGGCACGGATGACGACCGACCAAGGTGACAACGACGACGTATGACTGTTTCGACACACACACACACGACGTTCTTAAATTCGAGTTCAAACGGTACGTAGATTGTTGGTTGGTTGGTTGGTTGTTTGGTTGGGCTAGACGATTTTCTAAAATGCGTCTCAAGTCCTTTTTCGGTGTTTTTGTTTCAGTTGTTTCATTCAATATTTCTTTTGTTGTTATTTTTGTTATGCTTTTTATTTTCTTTGTTCAAATCGTGGTTTTCTAATCAGAAAAATTTCAGGGCATATAAATCACCTAGAACTTTTCTACTCCATTTACACAGTCTTTTGTTTTTGTTAGTTTTTCTCTAAATGTTTTGTTTCACGTCACTCTCGTGTTTATTTCACGGATTATTCGTCATTGATTTCGAACCGGGAACGACACAAAACGGATTTTTTTCTCAAGTTTTTGCTTTATTTTCTGTTGTTCCTGTTGAATAGAAGAAAAAAAAAACACAAAGAACATAAATTGACCGAATTATAATTTGTATGTTGAGCTTGTTGTTAAATTGGATTTTCATGAATAATCTCGGTGACATGTACACGAAGCGCATATTTAAAGAACATTTTACACACCACCGCTTATAAACAATGTAAAATGAAAGGAAAAAAACGGACGGATTCATTCTAAATACTATGCAATCGTCGTATTCTAATGAGTGAAAATCATACAGAAGAAGAAGAAGAAGAAGAAGAGGAAGGAAAAGAATTAGCACATCGTGAAAAGTTTCCTTTTGAGAGAGAGAGAACTGGATAGTGAGACAAAATGAGTACAATTGTGCACTTGTTTGTTACACTTTTGAGACGAATGAATTTTCTTTTCATCTTCGTGAACCAAATACAAGAATAAAAAAAAAATACAACACTGTTTCATTGCCGAATGGGAGCAGGCAAGTGTGGTGATCACACTCGTACACACAAATTGACTGAGCGTGAAAATTGAGACTGAAAAGATTCCACCATCTCAAATGAAAAACGGCAAAAACAATCCACCATCTCCTTGTTCATATCTTACAACAATTTTAGTCGCTACTTCTTCTTTTCTAAATTACACTCGAATTGTTGCTTAGCCCGAATAAAATCCGTTTTGACATTCCTGGATTTGCACACACGAAGAAAAAAAAAACAAAATTACTTTACACTTTGTCCTCTCGTACTCGGAACGAAATGGCAACGAAAAAACGAAAATATTGTTTTGATTCGAGGCGAACACGGAGTGTTGCGATCAATTTCGAAATTTTTATTTCAAATAAATATACGTATTTTATTTTGCCATACTGTCCCGTTCACACACAATGAAAAATGAGCGAAAGAGTGCGAGCGAGCCAAAGAGAATGAGTGAGAAAGAGAGCGAAAGAAAAAAAAAAGAAAAAAAATAATAAAAAAAAAGAAGAAGTCAACATGTATTTACTTTGATGAGTCGTAGCACAGCTTCGAAATTCTAAATTCAATTTACAAAATAATCACACGTTCATAGACTTTTGTAAGTAGGTATTAAAAAATTTCTTTTACTTTTTTGCCGTTTGTTACACTGGCTACATTAGCTTAGAATTCGTCTTAAAATGGCAATAAAGGAAACAGAACGAATAAAACTAAAACGCGAAATAATTTTTAACCAAAAAAATAAAACGCAGAGACGTAGAGAGGTAGACACACTTTCAATTCTTATAATTTTTTTTTTCCTACTTGCGTACAACCATATTATAAAATGTTACAGTACAAATTCGCGAATGTCATCGCTGCTTCGAGGCAGTTCATTGTGACAGTGAGAGAGGCAACACACAATGGCGATGTATTCAACGACGACAACGACGACGACGGTGGCGGCGGCAGTAAAAATATAAGCATTTTTCGTCTACGATCTCTTCTCTGTGTGTATATATTGTGTTGCATGTGTATACCAACAGGAGACAGAGACAGTGGCACAAACACGAAATGACGGGAGGTATCAGTATTTCTCTATTGTTGTTACCAATACATACAAGCGCAAACGTCTTCATTTGCTTCACTCGTACGGTTCGGTCGGTTGTCCGTTCAAACTCACACACACACTACCGCAACACACAACACGCAACTAACCAACCGATCTCGACACATGCACAAACACACGTATCAAATATATCACTTTAGTTTCGATTGTTGGATAGAGGGCGACTCATGTCACACAAACAGCACACTGATTGACCGAAACATTTTGTTTCATATTTTTCTTGCCATTTATTTTGGAACAATTGGAAAAAAAAGCAATTGCAACCTGTCGCCACCGAATTTTGTTTGTAAATGTAGCAAACAATCAAAAATGGTCACATCAAAACAAAAGACGCGAATCAGCAAAAAAAAAATTTTTGAATACGCTGTGCACTGTGTGCAGCCCGATGTATGTGCCACTCTCTCAGTGCTGTATAACGGCGAATTGATATAATCGAAAGGGAAAAAATGGCAGATTGTGCAGTTTTTTTTCTGTTTCGTTTTTTTTTTTGTTTCGCTTTGATTTTTGACGGCTTTTTTTCCTGAGCAATAATTTAGCGCTCAACATGAACCATCCATATGCTTGTGAACAGGTTTCGTTGAGCCGAAAAAAAAGAGAGAAGAGAATAGGAAACAATGGATGCATTTTGTTGATGCCAAAATGGAAAATAGAAATAATACAGGGGAAAAAAAATCATCATCACTCTTGCACTTTACTCGATGGCTAGCGCACTGGCTGCATGTCACTGTGAGAGTGAGTGAGTGTATACTCTATGGCTACTGCAACTTGTGTGTGCAATCTGTTTTCCTTTTTCCTATTGGTTTTTTTTTCTGCTTCGTATTAACCTAATGCGTTCGACCCGAAACGTATGTGTGTGTGTGTGTGTGTATTTGCAAATCGGACAAGAACACCAACAACAACAAATAAGACCAAAAGTATGATTCAGAGAATTCGGCCAATCTTTTTTTTCTTTCGTATTACGACGACGATTAGCAAATAATTTAAAATGGATTTTTTTGTTCATTGTTTTTATCAGTTGTTGTGTGGTGTTTGCGCGCAAATAAGTATCACAACTATATGGGATTAATTTTGGAGGCAAAAACCTTATCTCACCCAGCAATCGGAGAGAGGAAGCTCAAATGCGGTTCGTTTACAAACGAAACAATCGAGAATGAATTGACGTTTTTCCTTTCTTTTGCTGCCATTGACGAATATGGAAAAAGAACGACTATTTCGGAAAAATTATCTTTGTCTTGGAAATTGAACCTGGAAAAAGATTGAAAAAAATGTCGAAATTTTGGGAATACAATAAAAAGTTATTCATCGCCTCATTCGATCAGTTCAATAAAAGTATTTTAATGTCAATGTTCTTTCACATTTGAATACAAATTCTTTGTCGTATTTTTCGATGACATTTCAATACATTTGTGCATTTTGCTACTTGCGATTCGTATGGTTTGGAATCACAATCACATTGCATGCCACACACAATGCCTGCAAGAAAAATTATCAAGCGACGTATTGTAGTGGACGTAATGCAAGAACACACAAACTCTAGTTTGACTTATTTTTCTCGTAAACGGAATTCTTCTCTCTCTCTCTCTCTCACTCTCTTTCACTCTCTCTACCTCTTATTCACGCTCTCTCACTCTCTCGCTCTTTTCCAAAGGTTGCTGTGGTATTCAACATTTACCAAGAAACTTGTGCTGAATGCGAGATATGGAACAAAGAACGTATCATCCAAACCGATTAAAATGCACATGATTCTCGTACAAATTCACACGATTCTCATGCAATTTCATCATTTAGCCAATTAACATATTGCACACGGATATACTGGGCGATATTCACAAATTTCGGTGAAGATGCACATTGATTCCATGGCACAATAACATTTATTCATTTTTCCACTGTGTTCGTATCGACCGAATATGAACTGACTGATCTTACAGTCGCTTTTTTACATTCTGCACCATATTTCAACAGATTTGACTTGATCCAGATGAACAAATAAATACTATTATAAGCAACGGCGAAGCAAAAATAAAACTGTTACCAATAAACAAATAGCGAAATTTATACCGCGAATCGAAGTGTATCGGTATATCGTTGTCGATATACACGCCATTAAATGCAATAATGAATCTGTTTTCAGTGGTAATTCAGTTCAGGTTCAACCGAATCAACCATCAAACAATTAGCTGTGTGTTTTCATGTTCATTCCAGTGGCAACAAAGCATTCTGATTTCACAATTAGCTAGATTCTTTGCAGCGAAAAGAATTTTCGAGATTGCATCGATGACCACCATACTTTCTCTCTCTCTCTCTCTCTCTCTCTCTCTCTCTCTCTCTCTCCGTCTCACCTCGTTTACTGTATGTGACATTTGGTGTAACAATGCGAAATTGAATATCCGATGCGAACAACACAATAAAAAAAAATAATACGAAAAACAATTTCACAAATGCGCGTAATTTGCGTGTGTCTGTCAATATGAACTAAATTCATTGCTGAATCGATGACATGTTCGATTACTTCTGTTCAGTAGCACACGATGTTTTTCTTTTTTTCCTCAGTTTTCGATGATTTTTTCTTCTTCTTCTTCTTCTCAACAATCGAATTAGAAATGGCAAATGCACATGGAGAATTCTCCCAATTTATTTCCGAATCGAGCAATCGAAATTGCATCGAGTGTAAAAAAAAGGAATGATGATGGCTGTTTGGTGTATGTAGTAATTTTGATCGAGAAATGAGACGAAAAATGTGCGTAAAACTCACCCGAAAAAAAGAAAATTTCGCTTTTCTCGTTCTTAATGATTTTGTTGTTGTTGATGTTCGGAATGAGAAGAAAAAACTTAATTGTTTGTTTTCAGAATATCATTTCACACATACACACTTAAACTAGATTTCTTCCATTGTACTTTTCGGACAAATCTTCTTTCCAGCCAGTTTTTTTTCCCTCTCTGTATTTCGCCTCGTTTCGTTTTTTTTTCCTCTCTTCTTTCACTTGACTTTGTCGATTTTCCAATTAATTTTTTTTTCCTACTTCTTTCCTACCTTTAGTTTTTTTTGTTGAGTGTAATATAAATATAATTTTTTGTTGTTGTTTCGAATAAAACGTTTTTAACGAATAATTAGAATATTGAAAATGTCTTCTGGTTGTGTGTTTATTTTCTGCTCTCTTCTTCTTCAGTTCAAGTAAACTTTTGTGTTCTTCTCGCCCTATCGTTGTTACACACTAAAAATATGGTTGAAGGTTTGTTATTTTGTTTTCTCTCAATGCTTTAATGCCGCACAACAGTCGAAGTGAGTGACAGTAGAAAGCACTCGCACACATACACACTCGCGCTTTAGTCTCATTCGTTCAGTTCAACTCATTTCCACTCGCACACGCATACAGATACACTCACACCCGTTCAGCCCGAAAAACGTACGTGTGCAAGCAAATCATGCCAAAATAACTACGACCTATTTCTTGTATACGTGTAGTCGTCGTCTTTTTTTGTTCATGTCTTGTTCTCTCTCACACACACACACACACACATACACACGTACACTCGTTGGTCGGTTGTCTGTGTGCACGAGAAAATGAAACGTTGAACGTACGATTTCAGTTGCCACTGACTCAGCAGCGCTCAAGTGCATTTCTCATGGAATCTCTTCAACTTCATGGCAATCGACGACGACAACGCCGACTACGACTACGACTACCAACACACATATATTCTGACCACATTTTTGTGGCACGGCATGATTTTGCAGTGGCGCTGCATTCAAATTAGAATTCCATCGAAATATGAAAAGACAAAATGATGTCGGTTCGCGCGCATTCAAATGCCATTCTCGGCACCGAAACGTGTGCTCAAACCAAAAACCACACACTTTGCAATGGCTACAGGAATTCACTGCCGAATTATTCGACATTGTTTGAGGAGAGTTCGGTGTGTGTGTGTTTTTTTTTCTTTTCGCATTTTGGCATACACCGAGTGAGAGAGAACCGACACTTGAATGTGATTAGAACACATTCAATAACTGTAAAAATTTCGGCCGAATTTTTTAGGCAATGTACATTTTCTCACACTGAACATGAATTCAGTACTTGTGCGACACTCATTTCAACCATAGATCGTCTCAATTTGAATATTTCAGCATTTTAACCACCATTCGTGGTCACATCACATTTTATTGTTTCACTTTCAACGAGAACCGAGATTGACGACAAGCCAGCAAAATGCCGATGATTATGGGCGATTGGTATGTAAAATTCGATTTTTTTTTTTCAATCATTCGACGATTTTATCATTTTTTTATTTCAATCGAAAAAAAAAAAATTCGACTCCTTTCCATTCTGAACATTTTAATCCAAATTGTTCCGTTTCAATTGTGTGTTCATTTGTCAATTTTTTTTTTGTTCTTCATTTACCAAAAAAATGTTAACGCGCTAACATTTAAAACATCTGTGCATTTTTCCGTCGCATTGTTGAATCGCAATTTTTCGCAAAATCCAATCCATTCAAACCGCAAATTTACTACTGTTTTCTGTTCGCAAAGGAAAAAAAAAACCGTTCAAAATCAAATTGATGTGTGTAATTGAGCCACATGAAATCGGTTTGTTGTAAAAATTTCATATCAGTGCATACGAAGCTGATGGCATGCTATGAAAGAAGAACAGTGAACGAAGAAAAAAAAAATGTATGTCGACAGTAGAGACATAGAGAAATGCGCATAATCTTCTAATGGAAAGACACACAATCACTCTCGCGTTCTTGCATACACAAACACAATCGCATCGACGTACGCATACACCAAAACACGCATACACAGCAACAAATGAACGAAGAAAACGAGAGAGAAAAAAAAACCACACACAGAATTGTAGTGAATCGTATTAGCAGAGCTAGCGAAACGCACGTAAAGCGAAGTGCTTGCGATTCGTGAATTTTGTAGGATAAAAATTCATATGTTCGTATACCAGTTAAATAAAGGTTAATTTATTTGGTGTCTTCGGGAATTGGGCGAATTGATCGTGGCACACGGAATCCGTTCCATGAACAACAATTTCAACTCAAATAAAAAGTAAATTTTTTCCGCATATTTTCCTATTTATCGTCAATCGGTTGTCCAAACATTCATATCATTCGAAGGCAAAACATTTCGTTCTATTTCTCTCTCGTTGGTGGGTCTCTTTTTTACATTAAAAATATTTAAAAAAAAAAACAGCAGAATGAAGAAAAGAAAATGTTATGTGTGCGTAAACGTGTGTGTGTGTGTGTGTTTCGATTTTTTTAACGCATATATTTCTGATAACAGTTTTTGTTTCGTGAAAATGCGATTGATGCATTAACAATGTGGTATTTGGATTTTAGCAAACGCAAACACTCTATCGACTGTCACCACACAACATACAATAATAAAAGAGTACCAAGTCGATCGACAACGACAACGACACGTTTAAATTTTGGGCTCGACAGGCTGCGCTCTCACTCACAAAATTGTACACTTTTTTTCTTCCTCTCTCATTCCCATTTACTTGGTCTCTCGCTTCACAAATGTCAAATGTTTCAATAAAAATAATTTAATGTGTTTTTAACTCAATTTTTCTCTTCTGTTTTTGTTTTTGTTTTTGCGTCTATTTTCCAATCGGTGTGTGGCGCACAGGCAATTAGATAACTTTTATCAAAAGGAAGTACGATCAAACGATAACATTATGTCATCGCCAAAAAATCTACAAGATTGCTATTTCTACTATTATTCGGTGTGCAGAAAGGTAATGCATTTAACAAACTATGTGTGTTTTGTTGTGCGTTTGGCACACACTTCATCTATAGCCTTTATTGTGTACTAATAATGTTTTTTCTCTCTTCTGATTTGAATGTTGGAACACAACAGGGAACTAGCTGCCCGTATCGACATGAGCCATCGGCATTGGGTCACGAACGTGTCTGCCCCAAATGGACGGAGAATCAATGCTTTCAACCAAATTGCCCAGATCGTCATATGGTCATCGAGAAAGCACGGTAAATACACAAATTTTTGTTTCTTTTCATCGTTGTCGATTTTCCATCGATCAATATTTTGATATCGGATTTTGTTTCATTCGTTTTTCGTTTTACACAGAAATCAAATACAATGTTATTGGGAGAATAAAGGAGGATGCCGAAAACCACACTGTGTGTTCAAGCATTTAAACTCGGTGCAGCCACCACCAAATACATCTGGCCTCATGACAACCGTCAATCCAAACGTTGTCGCCACCGCACTCATTCAAATGTAAGCACCCTTACATTGTTTTGTTGTGTGTGTGTGTGTGTGTGTGTGTGGCGTGTGTTTGTGCCATCGAACGCACGCCTTTTCTCCTTACCTTTTTTTTCTTCTTTTTTTCGCTCATTTTATCTTAAAACGAATGAAGAAAAAAAATATTCTTAAAAAATAACAAAACACATCCATCACACAAAATAAAATAGGCAACAGCATCAACGCTTGCAACATCACATACAACAGGCACAAACTAATAACAACAGCCTGGATCAAACGCTAATCGACAAATGAAATTTACTTTTACTCTGCTATCATCCGTTGAATGGCCAACAACAGCAACCAACAACGGGTAAAAGGACAATTCTTTATTTTTTTTTTTGCAAATTTTCTTGCGTGAAATTAGATTTTGTCGAAATTGACGCCCTTTTCTATGTAATTTTTTTTTTGTGTCCAATTTTTTTGGTTGGAGAATTGTTAGAAAATTATTTAAGTTTGAGATTTCTTGAATGATTCTTCAATTTTTTACCTTTGGAAATTCTTCGATTCCAAGAAGAAATTCACCCATTTTAAGACATCTTCGTTCGTCAATTTCTTAAAATTCGCAAATTTATTCAAAAAAAAAATTGTTGCAAAACATTTCAAACTACTCAAAGTTCATACAATTAACATATTTTTCTCCCTCGCTCGTTTGACCATCCCCCCCCCTAATTTAGATCAACTCCAACAACAGAATCGGCGTTCAACCGTCGCTGTCGCCAGTCGAACATTATCCGCATTAAATACATCCAATCTTAACCATTTGGTCCAATCACAACAACAACAGCAGCAACAGCAACAACAACAGCAACAGCAACATCAAAATCTTCATTCGCAAAATCCATCATTTTATTTATTCAACAATCGAAACGCATTTTTAAACTAACATTCTTCCGAATGATCGAATGGAAGTACACAGCAAATACATAAAACAACATATAAAACAACAGCAGCAACAACCATAAAAGCATGGAACTAGCGATCAATGTGTCGCTGTCACCAAATCTACACATGGAATTCAAGTGGCTAGTACACAATCGAATCTGTACGCAACTCTCCCGGAGAGAAGAACAAAAGCATTAAAACTAGAGAGATAGAAGTAAATGTTATGAAAATAGATTGAATATTTCTCATAATAGGCCAAACATGAGTTTCGTGGAGATAGCAAGAGAGAAAGAGATAAACACAAAACAACCCAAGAATAATAGTTTTCTTCGTTATTTTTGTTAATTTTTAATTTTTCCTTTCTTGTAAACATAATGAATTACCTAGGAAATTAACGGAATAGAAAAGAGAGAAACAAAAAAAAAAGAAAACTAACAAAATGCGCGCGCGAAAAGACACTTTTCAATTTGAAAAGTGAATTTGAATGAAAATAAAAAAAAAACAAGTAATAATTAATTGAATTAAATGCGAATGCTATTTAGCTTAAAATTTAGGAAGTGAAGATTAAAAACCGCAAACGACAACACAACACAACACAAAAAATCATCTATTAGATTTTACTAGAGAAATATTTATGATATAAAAAAAAACAAAGAGAACAAGTGTTAAACACTTAATCAAAAATGATGAAGAAAGAAGAAAAAAACAAATCCACGTACAAATTACTTCATGACGGAGTAAAAGGGGCGCAACATTGAAGCAAAAAAAAAAAAATATTGAAACAAAATGAAAACATGTTAGAATGAGAAATACAGATACTTAAAATACAATATTTTGGTAAAAGCAACATGGAGAATGAGATAGAAAAATGAACAGAGGACATTGTAATCACACTTACACACTCGAAATCATAATATTATATATAAATATATAGGTATATGAACTGAACTGAATTTGCTGCTGATGATGATGCTTTTAAGGAGATAAAAAAAAAAACAACTAAAAACTAACAGAGAAATAAAGAGAAACACAACAAAAAATGAGAAAATACTACACGTAAGCACATTTACAATTTTTAAGTATCCACATCGCTAACACAACAACAACAAATAAAACGCTTTCGCCCTGCGTTTTAACGCTTTTGATAGAATGATTTTTTCTCGTGTGAATTACGATTTGCATATCGATCGATCTTATTTATTTATTGAATGAAAAACAACAAACCCAACAACAAAAAAGAAATGATGAAGAAAAAAAAACTCACAATTGTATTTATATTATTGAAGCAAACACACAAACACACATATACACACTTTGTTGAACAATTTAAATAACGAAATGTTTTTTTTTCTGTTTTTTTTTTTTTAACGAAAAAAATATTATGAACAAATCCCCGAATAACAACACAAAAATTCTAAAATAAAAGAAAATTCGAATCGAAAATAATAAAATGAAACACATATTAACAATTTTGTTCCGAATAATAACGAAATACATACACACACACAATTCACAACACGATCAGATTTGTATTGTTATCAGTTACTGATCGACGTTGGATATAGTTGACAGATTCAAAGTAAAATAGATATTATCGCAATATTAACTGATATTTCTATTATATTAAAGAAAGAAAATATTTAAAAAAAATGAATGAAATTATAGAACTATGAGAAAAACAAAACCAAACCATAGCACATACTTTGAACTTTTATTTGATCAACTTTGACGAAAGCAGCGGCAATAACAACGAGCAGAAGTAGCAGCAACAACAACAACAAGTCAACAAGCAACCTGCTGTTGCATGGTGCATTGATTTTCAGCTTATTGATTCCGCTTCCTTCAAACAGATTTTGCATCAACACATACATTTTTCCATTGAGCATGATATTCTGTTCACTCAGTCGATCGATTTAAGTCAACGATTGATTTTAATATTTTATTCGATCTAAGATACGAAATTCCATATTGTTTCTTAAATGAGAAGCGTCAGCTTGTTGTAGTGAGATGACATGTTTAGTGAAATCGAAGTAAAAAAAATCATTAAAACACTCAAAGTACAAAAATGAGGGGGAAAATTAAGTAATTTATCGATGCAAGACTGATATTGGTCGGTTTTCCCAATTCCTAAATCTAAAAAAAAAAACAAGAAACGATCGTTTTCCTTATTTTACTTGAATCGTTCGAATCAACGTTTGTTTTGTACTCGTTTAAATTGTGAGCCGAGTTGACACATGGTATGCATTTTGTGTAGATGGAAAAAAACAAACAATACTATTCCATTTTCAAGTCAACTATTTAAAATAGCATGAATAATAAAAAAAAATACATATAAATCAACGCCGCATCGAACATTCTCTGCTTTCATATTTTAGCAAATGTCACTGCAACGTCTCATTGAATGGGTAAATTCGCACGGTAGGTCTTTTACTAATTTGAGACTTTTTATTAATTTTTCTGCTTTTATAACACAATAAAATTGAAGGTAAATTAACCAGAGATGTACAATATCGTATTTTTATTCTTTTTTTCGTACTCAATTAAGTGGTTTTGGTCTTGATTGGTCGACTTCATTATTTCAAATGATTTTTTTGTTCAACGTAAATGAATCGAATTTCGTCTATTTTTCAAATCATTTTCATTGTTTGTTCAGTTCCTTTCTCGTTAGATAGTTCTCGCATGCAGCTACTAATTTAGACGGATTTTCTTCCCTTGCATATTTACGTGCTTCTTCTATATTGGCAATTATTTCGATGATAACTTGTATTTCATCATCGAGCCTCACTTGACCAATATGGATATCAACAAGTACTGTTTTTCAGAGAAAAAAAATTAAAATTTTCGTAATGTTCATAGGATGATCAAAATTGGAAATGAAATGTGCCTATTTTGCTAATGTCTTCATCACGACTTGACCAAATTTAGAATAATAAAGAGTAATAAACATGTTTTGCTCGAAGGTATGACGTAGTATATGTGAGTTTACATATTTAAACCGAATTTCCTGGAATTTTTTTTTAATTGAACATTAATTACACGAGTCTTTTGAATTAAATATTAAGTGTGCGTAGAAAACAAATAAATATTAAAATGAACCAAATGTTCTCTCCTATGAATAATAATTAAAATGATTTTACGCAATATACAAATTTTATTAAATTTAATGAATTTAATGAGGATGTCTCCTCTGAGAAAATATTACAATAACAAACAAAATTGCAATCAACAGCTGTATTGAACTTTTTATCAAATTTGGAATGTTATTTTTGTATTCCGACCTACATTCAACTATAAAAGGGCGGTGAATCTCATCGTTTGTTCATACAGTTTCTTTTGGTTACCATAGAATCTTCTCTAAATTCATTCAAGATGAAGTTTTTTACCTGCATTCTCTTTGTCGCAATTATCATTCAAGTGGTAAGTTTGATAATAAATCGAACGTTTTTCGCACTTCAGCATTAATTTCTTGATGTTAAAACTGTCATTTTCACACTAAAATCTTCCTATAGGCTTTCCCGCTTGTGTCTGCAGCTAAAACTAATGATGCAGCTAAAACTGGTGGTGGTGGTGTAATTGGAACGCTTAAGAAAGTTCTAAGTTATCCAGCAAGAATTGTGACGTTTCCCTATCGTAAAATTCGCGATTCTTACAATAATTACAAACATAAATCTGCACAGGAGAAAGCAAATAGGGCCAAGGAAGCGAAATATAGAGAAGAGGAATTGAGAAAATCAATCGAAAAACAGAACAATTATCAACAGAACCGTTATCAACCGAACAGTCCACAAAACAGTTATCAACCGAACAGTCCACAGAACAGTTTTCATCCGAACAGTTATAATCGGTACCGTGATTAACTTAATAACCAAGCTGAAACTGAACGAAAGAATAAAGAAATGCCAACAGAGAAAAATAATAAATGTATGCAATCTCTAGGACACTAGTCTGGTGTAACCATCGTTTGCACTCGAATAATGATTCTTGTTCTTCTTTGCTGCTTCTATACGCGAATCAAACCAAATTTCGTTGAGCATTGTTAATAAATAAAATAAAATGTTCAATTGAAAATTAAAGGAATATGTATCATTTTTAATACAATTTTTGTTTTTCACCCATGAGATGAGTTCAACAAATTGATGGTTAGAATTTACGGTTTTGCTCTGCTGAAGTATTTGGGATACCAAGCCTTAAAAAACCTTAGCTTGTTGTTGTGTTCCAGAGAGTGGATATATGCTGCTGAACAAGCCTGAGCTGAACTAATTTTCCTGACTCAGGCGCTTGAAGTGGTATTTTAACGCACAAAATTGCCATTGCTACCTAGAATGCACCTTAATATAATTGATAAACATCATACATTCCAGCTAGCAGTGGTAATTTTGTACCGTAAGTGCGTTAAAATACCGCTTCAGGTGCCTGAGTCAGCAAATTCAGCTCAGCTCAGGCGTGCTCAGCAGCAAATACCCACTCTCTGTTAGATTCGAAACCAAAAAAGGACCACTGTTTGATTGATATAATCAACAAGCAACAATGTAAAACTTCAAACAAAAAAGTTTAAAATTTTTTCCATGAGCGATGAAAGCGATACTCTTTGATTAGTGTATAAATTTCATTTATACATGGATGAAATTTTGGCGAAAATGAAATGGAAGCCAATTATTTATTGTATTTTATATAGAATGCGACTATTTTTTGACACTTACCACTTGGACACTTACTTTGGTTAGTGCTTGCAAAAAAGTTGGTACCTTATGAACTAGAGTAATCCATCGATTGCCGTTACGGAAATTCTTAAACGTTTTATGGAATGGCATAACATACAATGGAATATTTGATCAAATATAATATAAAAAAAACTGAACGTGAATAAAAGAGAATAAAAAACGAAAGTTAAGCCGAAAGACAGAAATTGTTTCAATGGAAAACGAAAGTTATTTCATTTCAATTTCGGAATTAATATGATATTTTTGCTTTAAAAATGGAAAAATGCACAAATGGAAACAAACCACTTGGGGCAAATTTGAAAGAAAAAAGAAAAAAAAAAGATTTCAAACACTTTTTTTTTTCTTTTTCATTCAATAGATTAAATAAAAGATGATCATCTTTAACTTGAGTAAGAAAAAAAAATCGTTTCGTGAAAATTACAAAATTCAAATGGAACACATAGTATCATCTAAATTACCATACAGATGGTGTTACATTTGAGAAGCTTTGAAAAACTTATACCAATGAAAGCTTCGTCACACAGTTTCCGTTGAAGTATTCAAATTTGAATCAAGTTAAAGGAGAAACTTGGGGGAAAATCGGCGTAGATCACTTCATCACATCATTGAAAATGAACCGAAAATTGTGAGTCGTCCTCAACAACCGATCGACACCACAAATAAAACGGCGTTCATTTCAGGAGGTATTTTTTCAGGGGCAACGAAACATATGACAATCATGCGCAGTCATCGAATGTACTTTATCCTCCGTGATGGAGTAATGGAAAATTGGTCCACAAACATTGTGTTAGAATGAGTTGTTTTTTTCTTCTCATATTCGATATTCTCCATTTGTCGCCTTAATTGTACACAATACAAGTTGGCTTAATGTGCTCTTTCGAATCTAATCGTGTTTCGGCTACCACACATTCATGTGCTGTATGATGTTAGGCACATCAGGCCCAACGATGCGAAAGGAAAAAGAGGAAGAAGAGCAAAATGGTGTGTCTCCGCCAAGAAATGGCCACTCATAGAAAACCGTTGATGTGTCTCAATCGACAAGTGCGATTCAGTCGCAATTCACAACGCGTACAATTCACAATTTATTTGTCGTTGTTCGTTGGTTTCGCACATGTTTCAATGCGGTCGCGTGCAATATCCACAGTATAATATAACGGTCGTACACTGAACATCGGCAAATCGGAGTGTATGTACATGTGTGTGTTTGTTTTTTTTTCTATATTTTTCTTTTCGGTGATATTTGAATGGTGCGACAGAGATTTGAATTTAAATTGGCTTTGGCAGAAAGGTAAAACTATCACGTGATTTCGAGCGGTACATACTTTGATGCCAACGAAGAAAAAAAAACGGTTGACATTAGAAACGGCGTTGCAAAATGGGATTGGCAGTATTTGGCGGCTTGCGTTTCATTTCTATTATTCATTGTCATCGTGTTTTTGTCACCACCTTCATCCTCGGAAATTTTTTTCGATAAATTCAAATGCCCCCCCTTCCGTAAAAAATAACTGATTGCGCCAATCCAAATGAAAAATATCCGCTTTTTTTCTTGATTCATGACAAATATCCGCTCATAATTCAATCGTAAGTTTTATCATCATTGCGTGCGCAAATTGTGTGTTGGATTTGATTATATCGGGCGATTTGCGCGAGCGAAAAATAAAACGGGACTGAATGATTGAGTGATCTTTAATCAAGCCCAGTGAATGTTGTTGCCTTTTGTTGTTTCGGCTGCGTATGTGTGTGTGTGTCGTGCCGCACACTCTCTGACAAAGCAACCAGAAAAACAAAGTAGAGGCGTGAATCAACACCAATTTTTTATTCAATGCACGAAATATCGAAACTAGACATAAACGTATGTACCGCTTCGGAATGGCACATCCAAATCTTTGTTGCCAAAACGATGCTCGTTTCTTTACATAATATTTTTTTTTTCATTCTGGTCATATTCGAAAATTGAATTTCCATCATTCGTACGAACGAGGAAGCGGGTAAAGAGGAAAAAAAACGAACTTTTCAAATTCTAGTGTGTACCACCTGCTGAGAGTCTTGTTACAATTGATCGATTTTGACTGATAAATCGCAAAATAGTATTACTTCAAAAAGGAGAAGTATATTGATTTGCTTACCAAACGGTGCTTGTGAATAGAAAGTATTTGTGCAATCAAACAAAGAATACTAAGAGTGAGAGCAAGAGCGAGAAAGGCGGAGTGCGCGAGATGGAGTGAAAGAGTTAATCAATTTAAAATTCGATCAGAGTTATTTTAATAATAAAGTTTTTGCATGAGTTTATTATGTTCCGAAAAATTGTGATGTAAAAAAGTTCAATAAATCCGTGTTATTACACTACACTGACCGCACACAAACACACACACGCACACGCATACAACAGGGAATGCTCCACTGCCTGGAAAATCATCGAGTGTAACCGAATAGGCAAACGAAAATAAAATAAAAAAAACTTTCGGGTCGGCAATAAACACAAAGGATCACAAAATGAATTCAATTATTTCAAAAGGCTAACAATAACGATAAACCATCTATCTACGTGTTTGTGTGAGTTTTTATTTTATTTCTACATCGGAATAAAAAAAAAAGAAGAAGAGAACCAGTGATCGAATTGAATTTTCGAATTAATAGTGCTGACTCTGTAACATTCTGCGTTCGAATGTTGCCACCCACTAGATGGATTTTAAAAATTTGGTAAGATATCCCATATCTTCTGCATTCTTTATGTGTTGATGTACTTGACTTCATAAGAAAACTTTTTTTTAACAAACAAACAAATGGGGTGTCGAAAAGAAATGGAAGAAATAAAACGGTAGAAACATTGTTTCTTTTGTTTGGCGACTCGAACTTGCTTGTTGCAAAGTGCATTGTTGTCATACTCATATATTGTGACAGATGCAGGGCGGATGAAGGGAAAACCGTTTGAAACAACGCATTTTCCATCACAAAAGGTCCAAATGAAGAGTATTTTGAATTCAGAGATTTGTTCAATTCAATGGATGATTGAGAAAGACCGAAAAAAAATCGTTCGATTTTCCACACACCCGCATCGAGCATTTTTTTTCTTCTAAATACATATTTCCGTTCGCTGATGGATTACGTTTGAATATATCGAGAGTATTGCACAGTTTGCACATTTTCAGCATGTTGCATCCGGATGCTAGGGGGCAACAGCATTCAAAAATAAACTTACAGAGGGAATGAGAGAGAAGGAGAGAGAGAGAGAGATGAGTAGAGGTGGGGATGGGGAGAGATTTGTTTACTGGTCCGTTTATTTAGATATTTGATGCGTGATGCTTTAAAAAAAAATCATGTATCCAGTGAATAGCATAATGAATTTAGTCGAATTTGGTCGAAAATCGGCTCATATGTGTGCAAAACTGCGGCACAATGAAAACACATATACACACAGAGAGAGACGGACACACGCACAAACTGATTCATTGCAAATGATCTCATAGCCTAAATCTGATATTCCAATAGAGTTTATTCATAGAGTCTTCATCAGTGGCAAACTTTTCGAATGTAATGCAAACGATGTGGATAAATCTATAATATCAAATGCACAACCAAAAACTTGAAACAACGTTATCACATACATACACACATTTTGTCATAATATTGCTTGAGAAGGCAGTCGTTCGCTCCCTTGGTCGACACACGAATTGATTGGACATTTAAATTGAATTTTCGACTGCAGAACAATCAGTAAATTCCGGTTGACCAACGATACCGATCAACTTTCAACCAGTAAACATTTTCAACATTCCCAAGAAATCTCTGAACCATAGAGCGAGAGGAAGAGCAAAAGGAAAAGTAAGAGGGAGAACAAAAGGGAAGAGAAACACTCAAAAAATTTATGTTCAATCGACAATCCAATTAATCGATTACTTCATTTCACAAATAAATTGACCTGACCTGGCCATCGAACAGAGAGAGAGAGAGAGAGAGAGAGAGAGAGAGAGAGAGAGAAAACTAATAGCCCCGACCATAGATATGATGATTCCAATTTTATAAATTGAAACCGCATTTTACTAAATAGCAATTGAAGCGTAGGGCATATCAATAATTTCCTAAATACAACCCGATCAAATTCATATTCGACCACAAACGTGTATGCAATTTTTTTATTCCTTTTTCAATAATTTCGGGCAAAAACCAATTTAGAGAAGTGCATTTAAAGAGGTCCTCACTCAACCTAACAACCTGTTTTACAACAGTGCACTAAAAACCCTGTATTTATTTAGAAGTTTTCGGATCACACACAAACACACATATACGGATATTTATGCGAGCCTATCGGCCAATTATTAGCTTATATGCACGTATTTTAAATGGTTTCGAACATGGTTTTTAGCTCAAGCTGATACAATATTTAAATGAAATTCAATCGGTTGATTTACGGTAAACTGCAGCAAATTCCATTAATCGGAAATAAACAAATTAGTTTACACAATAAATATTACGGCATAAATTTTCCCCATCTCCACTACTTCGATGAAGCTTTTAGCATGGCGTAAATGGTCATTTGTGTGTCATTCTAATTTATATGGCATTCACAAATGCACCTCCTTCTCAAGCAGCAAAAAACTGAAATAGTCTTCTCGGTTTCCGGTTGTACACCCTTACCTCGTACTTGAAATTCTTGCCGGATTGAGTGGCTTGCTGTCAATTTCAATGAATCAAAAGTCAACATCGTATAGCATGTCCTGTCCATGTGCTCAGCTTGTAGTTAGATCCAATGGAAAAAAGTGCCAGATTCTGTCGGTCAACCGAAACTGACGAATAATTTGATAATCGAAATGACTAAACCAAACATCTGAGCCTGTAGATGTACTGCAAACTGAATTACGGGTTTCACATTTCATTTGTGTGTGTGTGTCTTTTCTTCTCTGTATCAATATCAAGCAGCAACAAGTGCCGACCGAACGAGCATTTCGATGCTTTTTTAGCTCTTTTGTTGGTGCTGATTGTTGTTGTCAATATATGAGACATTAAGTGAGCAACAAATTTGCTCGACAAAATATGATCTCAACTCGTTTATAAGAAGCTATTCAAGCGGAATGCACTTTTTTCACACTCTCTAGCTCTCTATATCTATCTTCGGTTTATTATTGTCAGTGCAAAATTTTGGAAGCATTCCTATTTGAGGCTTCGCTTCAAAAGCCAGCGAGAGATAGTGTGGGAAAAATGAATCACATAAAACGATAACAACGCAAAAGAAAATATGTTGCGCATTGCCTCAATGCTGCGGCAATTTTTCGTCCTCAAAACTGCGTTCCATTCGTATGCATGTGTGCCATAGCCATGGAATCTTATATGTGGTACAACTATTTCTCTTAAACCGAATGTAAAAGAGGCACAAAGCGAGTGCGTGTGTGTGTGTGTGTTTGTGTGGAAGATGATGAGAGCGAGAGGGGTGTTTGGAAGAGAAAGGAAAGAAAGCAAATGAAAAAGAGAAAAACAAGAAGAAAGGAGAGAGAAAGAGCGACAGTGAACGAGTAAAACGAAATACAGAAACCACTCTTTCCAATATAAAAGGAAAGCTTGAAATTTAAGTGTGTCATTGCATCTCTATCACCATTAAAAGGAATAGTAATAAATTGAGTTATTACGAGCAATAAACGAAGTGAAATGTGTGTGCGTGTGCTTTTGTACTCTGTCTCTCTCTCTCTCTCTCGCTTACTCTCTTTCACTCTCTCGTTTACTCTCTTTTGTGTCTCAGAGACCGACTATGGATGGATATCTGGCAGCTTGCATTCCCGAAATTGGCACTTTTTCCACTCATTCACACACACACACACACACACACACACACAGCCGAAGATATAAAGATTAATATATATGTGGATCAGTTTAAAAAAAATGAATAAAAAACAACACATGTTCCAATGGAACATTGTTCCGTTGATATTTTCGACGGTAAAGCGCTTTACCTGTCGAGTCGAGACAATGACAGCTTTTACACACCACGTAATGGGGCACGAGATTGGAATTCATTCATTGAATTAGCTACATCCTCTTCAGTGACAAGAGAAAGCGACGAACGCAATGAATCTCTCAATTGTTTTGTTTTTGTGTGTGTGAAAAAAAATTGCCGACAGACGGCGAAAAGTGATGGAATGTGACAAAGAGGAATAAAAAGATGCATCGTATTAAAAAGATGTATACATAATTCAATCGTTTGTTTGGCACTTAAAAAAATCTGCTTTTTCGCTTTGTTGATGCTATGGTTTCAAAGAGAGAAAAATTGTCTCTTTGTCAGTGGATGACTTGTAATAGGCGTTTAAAATCATCAGCGTACACTTGAAAAATGTGTTTGTGTTTTTGTGTGTATGGCCGCCGCCACAAACAAGATAAAAGTATCCATTTAGTTGTGTAAAGAGTTTTTTCCTTTGCTGTTGTTGTTCGAACTTGTGTGTTTGGTTGAAAAATAAATGGAATTTTAGTGCAAAATAATGGAACTTCAAACAAAACGTCATGTCTCACTCGGGCTTTTCTCTCTGTCTTTCTCTCTCTCTCTCTCTTTCTCTCTTTCCTTCAATGTCTTTTTATAACAAGTTTATAAGCTCTTTTTTTTCTATTATTTTCACTCCAATTTCTTTTTCTTCTTTCGTTTTAATATCGGAAAGCTAAAGTGATGATAGTGATTACTTCCCGTCGAATGGCGGAAGTGATTGTTTTGAAACGATTCGCATCCATTATAAGCGACACTTTGCTTTGCAAACGAATATTCATCGTTGCTATAAAGCATATTACGTCTAAGCCTCATCCATAATAATGCTTTCCAAATCGCGTCAACAGCATGGAAATTAAGTCTAGACATTGTCGATTGGTGTAAAACGCGAAATGCATTTGAGCTAATTTAAAATCTAAATTAGAGCATCTGTTTTTCCCTCATCTTTTGACTGCAGAACAAAATCCATTACTTTGTGCAACACGGTCGTTACATCAATGTTTAGCTGCACCAACACAATATTGTTGCTTGTCAGATGTCGACATCTCGATTTTTTTCTCGCGACACACTGTTATGTGAGTCAGATCATGTGACTTTCAGATCCAAAGTTTTACGGATCATGACAAGGCATCAACAATGCCATTTAATTTCAATCAATAGCAATAATCGAAGAAAATTTAATGAAAAATATTGGGGGAAAAAAACGTCAAAAGGAATGGCGAATAATGCAAAAAAAAAATGGAAATTCCCATTGAAATCACACACATTTGCATAATTTTCATTCGCGGAAAAATAAATACTGAAGAATAATTATTAAACAAAAACCAATTCTAGGAAATAATTCATCAAAATTCTTTACAATTAAAAGCAAATAGTCGGGTCTTGGTTTTGGTGAAAATCGGCGAAAATGTTCTTGATTTACGATACTCTGTCAATAATTGCGTTCCGTTTAAGCAAACAATTGATGCCGCCGCGTTGTTGGTGTTTTTTTTTCATTCTTGTTTGCATCGAGTCATTCAACAAATCATTTGCAGATTGTTGATGCTGTTGATGAAACGTTGTGTTTTTTTCTGCCCGGCCAATTGCCAATTGCCAATTGCTACGCGATGCCTTTTTTCACTATTGAAACTCATTATCAGCTTTGTTATTTATAAACTTTATGCATATAAATTAGTATTTGATGGCGAACCGCGATCATTAATAATATGGTAGAATGAAGACATGCCTTTGTCGTATT